GTACAGCATTTGAGTATATTTACAAAAATTCTCTTCAAAGGTAAAGTTTTTGTGTGATCGAAGTTAAATTGCCATCAGCATAAAATAGACTGCTATATCGATACGATGCTTCCTGGGAGCCTCATAGTAACCACAAAGCAAAAACCAACAGTAGATTCACAAAAGATAACGATGAAGAGAAGGAGATCAAAGCATCCCACTATGGAAAAATCATCAATTCACGAATTCTCGCCAAAGACTGCAAGAGAAGGAGAAAGAATAAAGAAAGTACAGAACAGCTAGAAAACAATAAGATGGCGTTAGTAAGTCATTACCTATCGATAATTACTCTAAGTGTAAATAAATTGAACTCTCCAATCAGAGGACATAGAGTGGCTGGATGGATTAATAAAAAAAAACAAAAAACCAAGACCCAACTACATGCTGCCTGTGAGAGACTCTCATCAGCTGTAAGGACACACACAGGTTCAAAGAAGGGGGATGGAAAATGGTACTCTGCAGGCAAGTGGAAATCACGAGAGAACAGAGACGGCTACATTTATATCACACGAAAGACTTTAAGCCAAAAACAGTAACAAGGGACAAAAAAGTCATTATATAATTAGAAAAGAGTCAATTCATCAAGATGAGATCACGATATATGTGTATCAAATCAATGCATCATGTACTTTAAACTTACACCGTATTAGATGTCACTTATATCTCAATGAAGCTGGGAAAATTTTGTGTTAATTTTTTAATTCCCTTTCAAGAATGTTGTCTATAGATAAGTTTACCTCCCTATATTTTTATAAAGATACCTACTAATTTACCCTAGGTTATTATTATTATTTTTTTTACATCACCTTCCGTGCATTGTCCCAGCCCACCTCCCCTCCATTCTCAGCCCATTCGTGGCTCCCTATTGGACAGTGCAGGCGTGAAACATCTCCTTCACTGCGGAAGGTCCCATTGCGCAATGCGGCCCGCGGAAGAAGCAAGAGGACAAGAGAGGCAGGAGTGGTCTGTCTAGGGTCCGGCTGGGCTCAGTTCACTCAATCAGCCCTTGGGGAAAAAAAGGAAGCTGGAAAGAGACACGAACGCCAGTCTACACCCTTCAACACACGGCGAAAACTCCCAGTAATAGATCAAGGCTAATCTGTGCTTCAGGCTCTGACTGAAAAATGCAAATCGACCCCTCAAGGTGAAACAGAAACAGAGGTGGGACAGGAGCAAAAGATTCTCTCTCCTTTAAAGATGTGCATATGAGACTCCTAGTAACCAAAAACTCTTTTTTTTTTTTTTTTAGAAAAAAGGAGTGACCCATAGCTTGGAGCAAGTCCACTCGCTCTCCAGAAGCAGTATGAAATCCCAGAGGACCGAGTGACCCACTTAGGGCCAGGTGCCCACCGATGGATCGGTCGGTCTCGTGGAGGTGGCTGCGTGATTGGAGCATGACCACTGCTTATGAATGTCCCGCTGCTCTGGGCAGACACAAAGGCGGGGGGCCCAACACTGAAGGGACAGCCCTCATTTCAGGCCTCGCTTCGTGTAGCCCGTCTTGGCTCGCTCGTTCCTGGTCTTTGAGATTTTTGAGGACGAGGATCCTGTTTCCTCCATTGCACCCAGAGCGGCATCTGCCTCACCGTTTCCTCTTGCTTTTCAATAACTCTTTAACTAGAGGGGAGTAGATGGCATTGACTGAGCCTTACCTTGGTCCAGGGACAATGCTATGGGCTCCATCTGCATCACCTCGTTGAAACATTATGGCAACCTTAGGTGATGGATTTCATTCACCCTGCTTTTCGATGAAGAAACTGCATCTCATGAAGGTAAAGTAACTTGCTCAAGGCCACACAACCAGAAAATGCTGACTGCAGAAGTCAAAGTCCCATCTGTATGACTTTTCATGATGTTAAATATTTAAAACTAAATGAGCACATGCTAGTATAACTGATTTGCTTAAATGCCAAAAACTTCTTGCAAAACAATTGTTTAAAATGGAATTCTACTAAAGAACAGATCGGTTGGAGGCCACATTCAAGATGACTTCTGAGCACTGCAATTGAAGTCTGTTTTCTGTGACTGCAAAGTCACATTCACACCATATTTAAGGAGCAAAAATGTGGGCTGGCACTATGTTAAGTACAGCTTAATAATGACGTTCTCAATAGAAACAATAAAATCACGAATAAAGTTGCCAGCCAGCCTCTTCTACTTGGTGCACGTAATTTAGGCCTTTACCTGTTTCACCGCATTGCCTGTTCACTAGTCCTAGAACAGGTCTTGCACATTCCTTCCTCATACCCTTGTCCATGCTCCAGCGGTGGTATTACTTCCTCGCCCCACCTAGGACTCATTTAGCTCTATGTTTTCCTCAAAGACCAACAAAACCCATGTGAAGTGAATATGAGTGGTTTTAAATATTTCTCTGCTATCACTGCCCTAGGAGGTGTTTAGTATTTGACATGGGAAGTGCCAAGGTGCTGAAAAATGGAAGCTCCATTTTCAAGCGGAGCTTTGTATCAGTCAGTTTTTGCTGTGTAACAAATAAGAACAAAAAATCTCAGTGTCACATGACAATAAACTTACATATCTACAAGACAGCTTAAGTTTTGTTGATCTAGGCTGACCTCCTTTAGGTTTAACTTCAAGTCCAAGTTGGGTCCAGGTGCTTCATATGTTTCATATGCTTCATATGTTTCTCATCCTCCATGGTATGAGCTTCCTAAGGCATGTTATTCTCATGGCAGAAGACAGGTGCACGGGAGAGTAAGCCCAACCATGCGAGCACATTTCAAGCTTCTGCTCACAGCACATCTGCTAACATCTTATTGGCCAAAGCTAACCACATGGCCAAGGCCAAAGTCGGGGAGTGAAGACAGTGCTTTCCGGTTTCCTGGGGGCAGAAGGAAGGGAATGAATATTTGCTGAATAATAAATAATCTCTAGAGACACTAACGTGTATTTAAAATGTCCCTTCTTTTGCCATAACAGGCTACAGAACGCTACCCAAACAGAGAGAGGGAAAAAGAAGAGCATAGAGATGGCGGAGAAACCGAGCAGCACCGCAGCCCTCACAGCCTCTCCTCGGGCATGGAGGAAAGAAGCTGGAACGCTTTGGAGAGTGTGTGGGGAGGCAGCAAGGGCTCCTCGGCAAGAACATGTTATTGGCAGGGGGGTAGAGGGAGCCCCGGTCTGGTGTCGTCACACGGAGTGGATGGGAGCGAGAACTGACGGAAACATCTTACAGAGAAACCTGTCAGTGCACATCACGTTCTGTAAAGGTGCCTGGCCTTTGATCCAGCAAGCCCACTGCTAAAGAGGTGCTCTATGGAGAGAACCTAAGATCATACTCGTTTGTCTGTTGTAGCAGAAATAATAGTGCTAATAAAAATAAAGAAAAGTAGAAAAGAAACGGAGAAAACTAACCAAGTGTCCATCTCTAAAGGCCTGAATTAAGGTAGATTCATATGGCATATGATAAAGCATTTAAAAATAAGTTAAATCTATACATGCTAATTCATTCATTAAAAAACTATTTATTGTGTGTCCACCGGGTGTCAAATCCTGCTCTTGGCGTTAAAGACGTAGCAGAAAATGAGACATGCAGGGTCTCTCTTCTCAAGGAGAAAGAGTAGTGGAAGACAATTAACAAAGCCAATAAATAAAGAAGATAATCTCAGTAAGTGTAAATGCCATGTGAAGACGCGACAGGATGGCGTGCGAGAGGAAGCCGGGAGAGAGGGTCTACAGGAGGCCTCTCTGAGAAAGTGATGTCAGCGCTGAGACCTGAGTGACAAGAAGGAGCCGACCCATTCTCGAAGAACATGGGAAGAACATCCTAGGGAAAGGAAGCAGAAAGGGCAGAGGCCACGAGGTGGGAATGCGCTCGGCCTATGCAAGCGAAGGACCAAACTCCACTGTGGCTGGAGCTGGGAGGAGCGGGGACAGTGGACCACGACGAGGTCGGAGAGATGCTAGAGAACCAAGTTTCTCCTGTTCCACTCTGATGCTCATGTCCTTGGTCTCCCCACCTGTAAAATGGGAGTTACTAGTCATTGACAGCTTTTATCTCCTAGGATCTCTGCAAGAAGTCTGTGCAGACTTCCTCACTGCACAGGTAAGGAAACTGAGACTCAAAATGTCTACTGCCTTTGTCCCAAGTCACACATTTTACAGTCAGCACAATCGGGACTCAAATTCGGGTCTCCTGACTGCTCTGAGTGCTCTTTCCACTACACCATAACCGCTTCCACCTCACTTGCGAATTTCAAAAAAAAAAACAAAAAAAAAACACAGCAACACTTCCGAAATTTGGAAGTGTCTTTATAACCCAAATCGTTTCAAGAGAGATTGATCCCCAGTGATGTGGATAAATTGAGTTTTTCAGTCTGCAGCCTAAAGCCACCATGGATTTTACTTTCAATATAATTCGTTGTTTACATATTTCTCTCTCCCACCAAAATGCGATTGGTCAGCATGGGAGGAACTGTCCATGGTGCAGAACTGGTGGCGGCAGAGAAGTCGGAGGGGGAACACCGGCCGGGCCCGCCCTCCGCATCCGAGATCACACCGCCTGCGAATCGTGAGGTTAGAATTTGAACTGGCATCTGTCCAAGTGGAAAGTACGTGCTCCTTCCAATACTTGGGCTGGTGTGTGGGAAGGACCCAGCGGAGTGCCTGACACACGGTACTAGCTCAGTTAACTTCGGCCGCTGTCATCGTCACGCATACTGTGAAGCGTCTCTCCCTAGTCATCTGGTCTAATTGCAGAGAATCCACCCAAAGGTCCACAGGACTAAAGAGATCAGGTTGTGGGCATTCCAGATGATTCCCAGGCCACGAAATCTCCCTGCATAATTCACAGCAAAGCCTGGCAGTCTCGCTCCATTTCTCAGAACAGAATCTGCTGGGGACTGGGAGATTAATCAGACTTCATAAATTCAGTGAGATAAACCGTAGCATGTTTACCCGCGCACTCAGAGGCATTGTCATAAATCACCACAATTAAAGCTTACCTGTCTGAGCAGAAGCACAGCCTGCACTAGGGCCCCGAGAGCAGAAGGTCATAGCATCAATGGCTTCCCAATGGCTTCCTAGCTTTCTGAGCCTTCCTGTGACTAGTGGGACCAGCTGCACTGTGCTCCAGTTTAATCATTAGCAAAGCCATGAACATTAGCCCAACAGTTCGGAAGGGGCTCCAGGGCTATGTGTGTATTTCTGCTCAGAATTAGTCAAAACTGAGCTACATTCAGAGGAGATTAGAAGTTTGAAAGGCATTGATCTGCTTCTTCGAGCCATAGCTTCTTAAGTCAAAACTTGACAAGACCTTTGAAACCCAGAAAGGATTAATAATGTGTCCCAGGTTAACGCAAGTCGTTAATGGCAGACCTGGGATCTCAACTCAGGACTCCTGATTCTCAGTCTCATGCTCGTTCTACTCCAAATCATCTGCCTAGGAGTTTGGGGTAGATTAGAACGCATTCAAAAATATTCACTCCCTCCCGGGATGCTTATACTGCTTTCCTTGGTCTTGGTTACATGACCTCCTCTGGCTACAGAATGGAAGCAGACCCACTGCAGGCAGGGGTTGAAATGTGCTTGCACAGCGTGGTCTGCCTTGGGCAGAAGGCTGTACCCTGACAAGTTCATAGGTCCAAGGAAGATGAGTGACTCGTGCACCACACGCCGACCCAGCTTGCAGCTTAGAGGCACCCAGTCCTGCCTGGCCTAGATCAGCAGGTCCCCAGCTGATGCAGACACAGGAGTGAAACAGAAGCCTATCTCTGGATTTTTGTGGCTGTACACTATGCAACAGTAGTTGGCTGATTCAAGACACATCCTGCAAACAAATGTACAATACTCTGATGCAGAATTATGCTTTAGAAGGAACCTGGGCGTTGACAGAGCTGATTTGAATCTTGATTTGGGCATTTAGTTACTTCGGGACCTCAGAGAAGTCATTAAAACTCTCCAAGACATGCATGATTTCCTGAACTCTCAAGTGAAAGGAATAACACTTACATATAGAGGGATCCTGTGAACTGAATTATGATCTCCCCAAAACTGAAGCCCTAACCCCTACGGTGTGCCTGTATTTGGAGATGGAGCCTGTAAGAGGTAATTAAGGTTAAATAAAGTCGTAAGGGGCCCTGCTCTGATAGAATTGCTGTTCTTATCAGAAGAGACACCAAAGCACCCTCACCCTCACTCTCCCTCACCCTCTCTCCTCTCTCCCTCCCCGCCACCCTAGCCACTATATGAGGATACAGAGAGAAGGCGGCTAACACAACTGATGATCTTGGACTTTACAGATTTCTCCAAAACTGTGAGAAGTAAATTTCTATTGTTTAAGACACCTGCTCTGTGGTGTTCGGTTATAGCAGCCTGAGCAGACTAATACAGAGAAATTTACAATTTTATATTAACTGCCTAGCACATGGTAGGGGTTGAGATCATAGGTCTCTATAGCTGGAAACAGGTGGGCTATCACTGCACTGAAAATCGGTAACGTCAGAAATGTATTCTCCTCTAATGTGGTCATTCTCCTGGTTTTTAGCTGGGCACGTGACTCCCAAAATAAAAACTATATTTCTCAGATTTCTTTGCAGCTAGTGTGACTTGGCTATGTGACAAAGTTATGTGCAAGAAGACATAAATAGAAGTGCCATATACGACTGCTGGGACATGCCCTTATAAAGAGAAAGGGCATTCATCCCACTCCCCCTCCTTCTTCATTCTTACTGGCTTGAATATGGACATGATGGCTGGGGCTCAAGCAACCATTTTGGAATAGGAAACAACATGCCATGTACAGCAGAAAAGAAATAGAAGAAGCCTCGGATCTGACACCTTGGACCACCCTGGACAGCCCTGGACCACCTGCCTATGGATTTCTGCAACATAAGAGAAAAATAGACTACTAATTTGATAAAGCCACAATTATTTAGGTCAGCCATACTCAGCACTACTTGCGAGCTTGTTAGAAATGCAAAATCTCAGTCCTACTACAGACTTCCTAAACCAGAGTCTCTGGAGTCAAGGAATCTGTGTTTCAACATGCTCACTAAAGCCTGAGAGGCATTGACTTAGAGATTTCCCCCACACCGCCTAGCCTGATAACGGATAGAGATTTCAGGTTTTGTCCAGGACTTGGCAGATGATATAAAGCCAGGAAGGATGGCAAATCCAATAACTGACAGTGTCAACATTTAAAATTATTCTGACAGAGTGGAACACTGGACCAAAGCCAAGCAGGTGAATGTAATGGGGATATATAAAAAGCAAATCGAAGTGTTCTTTTTTATTGAAGGAAATATAAAATGTTCTCCTTTTTGACTTCTTAAATTAAAAAGAAGAGATGTAAAATTACATATTTTAAAATACAGCAAATCATGCTATCAATCGATGCCAATTATGGCTAGTGAAAGGAACGAGGGAAGGAGAGATGATCGGGAAAGAGGATGAAAGTAAAACCTAAAGTGAAAAAGAGAGTCAAGGAGAGAACTGACAGCCCAGTTCAGGCTCAGTCTGCGGGTTCTAAGGCGACCTGCTCAGCTGGAGGTGATCGTGATCATGAGCCAGAGTGCACTGAACCCTACCGCGTGCCAGGCACTGTGTTGTGTGTTACGCAAATTTACCCTCTCAGGAATTCTATGAGGTAAGATTCATTATCATCAGTATTTCTCAGCTGCAAAAACTGAAGCGCAGAGGGGCTGAGTAAGTTTCCCAAGGCCACACAGCTAGCACGAGGTGGAAGGAGGATATGAACCTGGGTGGCTAGAGTTCGGGGCTGTGACTCTCAGCCACCCGGGTGTACTCTGCTCTTTGGTGCTGCCCTTTCTTGTGACTGATCAGTTGCTACTGATGGAAAGCCTGGCAGAAAAATAAGCCAACATCCATTACCTCATGTAACTGTAAGTCCAAAGTAGGGTGGGATCCAGGTGGCGTAGGATTATCAGCTCAAAGATGTCATCAGATACGAGTGCCTTCTATTTCTAAGTGCTCCTATTCTCGGCATCTGGCTTCATCTCAGGGCTGGTTCCACTCATAGTTCCAAGATGACAGCCAACTGTCCTGAAGCTTCATGCTTCTTCTTCACGGCCAGCAAGGGAGAAAAGTCTTTACCTGAAGCATGGAATATCCTGAAATATGTATTCTTTAATTCAGTTTTATTGCACCAATTTAGGCAAAAGACAATTCTTAGACAACAGGGGCCATCAATGGCAATGCTATGAGTTATCTGTGACAGATTACTCAGTACCTAACCTTGGAATCATGGATGAGGTCAACTAACAGGGTTTTGTGGTACCCAGGACAAATGGGCTCTACTGTTAGTTGTCGTGATACTGTTTTTTCTTCTGAGGCAAATCAAATTTCCTCATTTGTTTGAATCTTAGCACAATTATTAAATATTCATTAGACAGCACTTTGGGTATAAAACAACGAACCTGTCTTCCCAACCCTTCAACAGCCTTCCTAACCTTCTAAGGCATCACAGGGGAGGATCCTTTGCGGGCAGTAACCCCCATGCTGTCCTTTGACAGGAAAAAATTATATTCTGTAAAGAGGGACCAGCTTTCACTGCTGGTCGTACCAGGAGCTTTAGGAGGAAGGAGATGTCCACTATTTATTGAAAGTCTAGGTGTCTAGAATGATGTGTCATGCTTTATTATTTATTTTAATCATTAAAAGAAAATTATATCCTCATTTTATAGATGAGAGCCAACATCTAGAATTGTGCAATTTGCTCAATGTCATTCAGCTCGTCAAGTGGCAGAGGTGAATTTCAAACTCAAGTCTCTCCGATTCTACAACTCAATTTCTTCCCACCACATCTATTGCCCAGTCTATTAATATTTGCTGAAATTATTAGCATCGAACTGAGATTTCTTTGGCCCCTTCTTATCTGCTCTGTGGCCTCTGTTACTTTTGAGAGCTACTCTTGGCTTATAACAGATTTTATAAAATTTTCTGTTTATCGAACACTTACTATGTGCCAAGAACTTGGCTAATTGCTTTATGTGTACAATCCGTTTATTCTGTCAATAACCCTGTGATGCAGTTTATTATGGAGAATGCTTTTAGTTGCTAGTGATAGAATCCCAAATTAATCATGTGCCAATGGCTACATCTATGATTCCTTTCTAGTTAGGATGCTGTCTAGACTTAATTGGAGGTGTCTTGTATTTATTTGGCTTTGATGAGAAAACCAGACTTAGAATCTCTTTTCTTTGAGCCATTTTGTCCAATTTAAAAGATTTAATTTGTGCCACTTTAACCAATTCCGAGGTTTTAATAGAGGGACCATAGCTTCCATTAGTCCTTGACACAAGACTGAATTTTAACTAGCCTTTGTCAAAGACCTGTTTTATCTTATATTATTTAGAAATCAGAATCAATTACATCGTCTTGTCCTCTGAGTTCTCAAATTTCTGGAAATTTCTACTATGACCTCTCTAAAATGGACAATTCTTTCCTAAATTCAACTTTCTCTTAGAGTACTTCATTAAGTACAGACCCATGAGTAACACATTGTTTCATAACCTCTTTGACTAAAACCACAAGCTCATTCAGTACATACCTATCTTCTCAGTGATCATAGGTGGAAGTTTTCCCAAATGCGTCACCGCTAGATAACATGGGCTGCCATTTTTCCAGCCTTCAATAGCTTATTTTTTGCTTCCCACTCCTGAGCCCCCGAGTGAGGGCCTCATTATTTAGGTTTTCTGTTATGGCGACATCTCACCTACAACCCCCAGTCGCTGTTTCGATCAGCTTAGCCTAAGTAATGTTTAGGAGTAACAACCACCAAGTCCCACATCTTTATGACAGAAAAGGTTTATTCCTTGCTTGTGTCCATGGCTTTTGCAGGTTGGCTGTGGTTCTGCTTCATGTCTTCTTTATTTAAGGACTCTGATTGAAAACTCAGGCACTATCTGTGACATGCCAGCTTGTGGCGAAAGGAAAAGAAAAACAAGTCACTTTGGTCTTTGCATAGAAATGACACATGTATTTCTGGTCACATTCCGTTGACCAAAGCAAGTCATGTGGTCAAGCCTGGCTTCAATGGGTGAAAAACCCCCGCCTCCTACAGAGAAAGGTGGCATAGAGACTCACAATTAAGACAGCAGGTATTTCTGAGCAACCTATGCAGGAGTGTGCTAGTAAATGTTTAATAACCTTTTGGGGGAATAAATGCCCTGATCTGTAGCATTTGCTAATTTCCAGGGTATAAATACTCCCACAATGGCCGATTTCAAGCTTTCAATGAGTTGTCAAGGAACGCAGAATTAGGAACTGATGTGTGCAGGCAGTTCTTGTGAGCG